TTTACGATGTTATTTTCAAAATAGTAAAATAATGATTATCATATAACTATATAATGGACAGAGGTTCTAGATTTTTTTTTTTTTTTTTTTGAGACAGAGTCTCACCGTGTTGCTCAGGCTAGAGTGCCGTGGTGTCATCCTAGCTCACAGCAACCTCAAACTCCTGGGCTCAAGCGATCCTCCTGCCTCAGCCTCCCGAGTAGCTGGGACTACAGGCATGTGCCACTATACCCGGCTAATTTTTTCTATATATGTTTTTAGTTGTCCAATTAATTTCTTTCTAATTTTAGTAGAGACAGGGTCTTGCTCTTGCTCAGGCTGGTTTCAAACTCCTGAGCTCAAACAATCTGCCCGCCTTGGCCTCCCAGAGAGCTAGGATTACAGGTGTGAGCCACCGCGCCCGGCCTCTAGATTTTATTTAACTCATTTATTAATGAGGGATTTGGGAAGTTACTGCAGCTGACTTAAAGTAGAAGGTGAAGATCAAATATAGGCAATTAAGAATACTGAAATGAAGTTGCTAATAGATGCAAACCTCATTAATATCCTGTTGGCATTACAATGTACTGTTTGGTGTCATCTTTTCTACAAAGTGGAATTTGATTGTATCTCTGCCAGGCAAAATTTATTTGCATTTCCGTGCATAAGAATCTATTACATTACTTTCAGTTTTCTGTTGGAGGATTGTAAAATACACCAAAGACAAAGGTGTGGATCTCTAGAATTAGATAACGCCAGAGGGTCCACTACCGCTAACTCTTGGTAATATAGTGAAAAACCACACAGTAATCTTTTTCCCATTTCAAAATCTTTCACAATTTTCCTTAACATCTTAGGAGCCAAAAACTAGAAGCCCCAAACTCAAAATACCCCAGAGGCCCATGAATAATAGAATGGATAAAATTGTAGTATTTTCATACAATGGAAGTCTATATAGCAATAGGAATTAAAAAGCTACAATCCCATGCAGCAACATGAATTAATTTCATAAGCATAGTAATGTGTGAAAAAAGCCATTCACAAGAGTACATACTGTATGAACCCATTTACATTAATATAAACAAGTAGAGCTTATATAAGGTTTCACAAATCAGGATTGTGGTCATGGTCACTCTTGCTTTGGGGTTATGCCTGGGAAAGGGACATGGCAGGACTTTGTGAGTATCCATTATATTGTTTCTTGATGTCTGTCAGTACAGAGGTATGTTAACACTGAAAACTCATTAAGCTATACAGATACTTATGAGTTATGTATTTTTTCTGTGTTTGTTATCTTTCAGTAAAGTTTACTTCAAAAATTATTTGCAGACCACAAACATCCATTTAACTAGTGTCTTCAGGGGAAGGCAGAGATCTGAATATGTAATCTTATCCTAATTCTGTGGCGTTATAGAGCATTATTTTTATTGTCCTTGGTATTCGGTTGAATTTTCTATATTGTAGTCAGATAGTCTATGAAAAGTTATCAGGATTTCAGAAACAAGTTTGGCTCTGAGGACTAGATGAACTTCAGTTGCTTTCAGAGAGTTCTAAAAGCCCTTCCAGAAGTTTTATAGCCTTTTCTGTGTGTTTATTATTGTCTCGGCTGTTGTAATTTCCTTTTGCCTTAGATTGAGTTGTGAGATTCTAAAATTGTACTCCCCTTCACCCCGTTTTTTGGTTTGGTATGTCATTTGCATATTTTCACCATGCGAAAGCTATTTTCTATGGTTGGAAAAGAATTTTTTTCCTACAGTGTGAACAAATCATTCTTTGTTCTCCTTATTGTGCCTCCAAACTGGTACATCCGGTTTATGCCCCAAACAACAAAAGTCTGTCATCAGAAATTAAAATGCCAGTAAGAACAAAGGCAGAGATCATGAGGAGCTCTTGGAGAGGTTTCCTCCCAGTTTGCTCCTCTCCCCAAGTTACCACAGTTGCCAGGAAGTTGGAACACTGCTTGCTACACTCCTTCCTTGTAGTTCTTCTGCTCTTGTATATACTGTTATTGTTGGTTTAAAACTGAACTTACAGCTTCGTATAATTCTTTTCAGGATCTTATAAAATCCTCATCTCTGAGATTGTTTGCCATTTTCATTCAGTGAACTCTTTTTAAGAAACCTAAGATTCACTTTTGAGAAAATGTGTTGATTTTTTAAAAAATCAATTTTGACACTCATTTATTTTAAAGCAAAATTATCAGTGAACATATTTTATAAAATTATTAGAGACAATTCAGAATGATAACTAAAGCAGTGTGTAAGGACATGTCCATCCTTTGTGTGTCCTTTCTAAAATGTACACATCCTGTCTGTGTACACTTTGTTAGCACTGTTTCTGTTCTGAAATGGTATTCTAATGTAGAGTTTGCATATCCCATTTAGGGAGTTCTCTCCTCTAGGAAGTTTGACATTTGTGACTCACATAGGATAGTTGAGAATTTTTTTTTTTAATTTTATTTTATGAGTGGGCTCTGGTGGGGAGCTGGGGTTGAGGGAAAGGGCTGATAGTTTAGAATTATGCTTCTAATTTCAGTAGGTTGCACAATCATGATTTTAATATATTCACAAATATCTGTAAATGAAGCATAATACTTTTTCCCCTCTCCCCTGTTATAATTAAACAAAGATTCTAAAACCTTAACTTAGAGGTAATGAAGAATGGGCAATGAATGGGGGTGCATTTTATAATCAGTCCTAATGTTTTTTCTCACCTGTTACTTTACATATAAAGAGGAATTTAGAATAGAAGCTTAGGATAATAGGCATTTAGGTTTGTTTTGAAAATTGTTTTGCTGAAAAGCATGATGTGTTCAGATTTCAAAATGTTTTTCTGTGTCAAAGTAAGCTCTTGCATATTAAATACAGTGGTAAATCTTTATCATATAGTGAGTATGCCAAGACAGATTTGTTTTATTTTTTAGTATAATTGTGTACAACAGCTCAGTTAAATATGATTATACTTTTTTAACATAAAGGCTTTGTTTGAGAGAACCAAGAGAACCAAAAGCTAAATGCTAGACCTCTGGCATGTAGAAATAATATAGAGCAGTAGATTTTGTGTCAGAATGCTATAATTTGTTGTAAGTGTAAACCTTATAGGTGAGAAGTATTTTTCATTATTCTGAATAATAATTTCAATGTAAGTTCCATAGTATTTTAAAACTTATTTTTAATATTCTTGTTAATAGAAATAACAAATATATTGGAAAAGAGTGTTATTTGTTGCCCAATAATTTATTGTCAAAATGTAAATGACAGTGTTTTTATTCCTTTGGCTATTGTTAAAATTTCAAATGTTAGGTAGGTCAAATAGCCAATAAACCACCTGCAATATAGTTAGATTACATTAGTGTTACATCTTTCAGCATATGTGTGCTTAAAATCAAAGAGATTGTAATTTTTAGATTTTAGAGACTGTATGATTACTGCATTGACTGGGAGTTTGAACAAAATAACATTTTACGGCTCTTTCTAAATTTTAAATTCAGTTCTATTATAATCAAATGTAGACTATAATGACCATGGTGTTCGTTTTAAAATTAAAGGTTACAAAGGAATTTGCAGAGCATATAAGTTCTTACAATGTGCTGTACCGAATTGATAGCTTTTGTGTGTTTCATTGGTGGTAGGTGGTGCTATTGTTGCACAGTTAGTTCTAGCATTCCTCACATCTTCTGCATCCCAAGTGTTACAGAAGGATTTGTCACTGCAGCCATTAAATAAGTTGTGGTAATTATCTTGAGCAAAATGAATGTGATGGCTCTTTAGGCATTGCCATAATTTAACATAAGAAACAAAAATATTTATAGTTTTCAGCTCTTAAGTTCAGGTAGAAGAGAAACTGAAAATCTAAAAAGGTGTTTACTCTAAAAGGCAGCTCTATAGATTTATAGTTTAATATTGTAATATTTATAAGCCTTTATTTTATAATGTATACATTTTTGATATTTTAAACTGCTTGTTTGGCAGGCCTATTTAAAAAAAATACCTTCAGTATGTTTCCAGAATTTTTATCTTTATTACATCTGTTGTATGTTCTTGGGTATTTAGAACTAGTTTTATAAAGTTTGTCATTTTCTCTGACATATATTCCATCAAACACCAGGCAATTATGAAAATGTATTGAGAACTCCAGTACCACTTATAGTAAGTCTGGGAAGCCATCCTTAACTAATTCTAGTTTAATCTGTTCAGCACTTCAATTAACACTTGAAAAGCAGTCATTTTCACACTTAACACATATTAGCACACTTCTTTTACCCTTTGGATTAGTAGTATACTGTACTCTTTATATCTGAGGAGTAAGTCTGATATGACTCAAAGTGAATGTACTTTCATGCAGTGTTTGATCTATGTGTATAATAAAAATGATAACTTTTAACGTTGCTTACATATAACTTTTCGGTTCGCAGAGGATTGAAATTAAAAGTATTCTGGAGGTCTTTTTAGCAGCCTTTCCTTCTCATTTTATAATTGCCAAAGAATATAGGCTTATTAAGGTTAAATGATTTATTCAAGGTTAACAGATAAGAGTTGCAGGACCATAACTGGTACCTAAGTTATTCACATTTCAATTATGTTTTCTTTGCAATATATATTGCTTTCTTTGATTTACAGCATATTTGTTAAAGTTGCTACAATATTCAAGTTGAGCTTTTGGAATAGTATCATGGTTGTGTTGCTATGAAATGGAAGGCAGTTGTGCAGAAACTGCACAGATTTCTAATAGTTTAATAAGATAAAAATTATAGACTTCTAGAACAGACCTTTTTTTGTTTGTGTTAATTTTGTACTCTTATAATTTTCTAAAATTGCTTGTGGTAATTTAGGATATGAGTATATTTAATGTGTATGACCAACCATAGATGTGTGTGGGTGTATCTGTATATGTGTGTATATATATATATGTATATGTTTTAGACAAAAAATTATAAAATTTAGGAGATATTATTTTCATATAATAATGATGTGACCTGCATTTTCATTTACTGGATTTTTTTTCTGTCTTCTTTTATGCAGATCAGTGGGGAAGCACAGGAGCTCTTCTCTGTACGGCATGGCCCAATTAGAGCAGCTAGAATCTTGCCTGCTCCACATTTTGGTGAGTGTAGCCCTTAAGCAAAAACAAATCATTCAGAAAGAGTTTCTCTTTTGTTGGTCTTGGACTACAGACAGCAAGAATGATAACTAAAGTCTGTTTTCCTCCAAGTGTCCATTCCCCTTCCCCTCCTCCCCACAAGATAAACTCTTAACTCTGTCAGTTGAGATGGAAATAGGTAATCTTAACCAATTCAATATGGTCATTCACTTTCTGCTGTGGTTTTGATTTATCTTCGTCCTCTTTGATCTCAATTTAGCCTCTGCCTCTGCTGGCTCTTTCTTGAAGCCCTTTTCTCTCTTGGTTTTCATGGCATCTTTCTTCCCAGATCCCTTCCTTGCTGACTGTGCTGTCTTTGTTATGTTTCTGGCTTAGCTTTCTTCTGTGGGTATTCCTCAAGTCTCTGTTCTCATGCCTTTGCCCTTCTTCTCAGTTATACTTTACTGCCTTGGAGAGCTTGGTTTTCACTATTATCTCTGTTGTAGATGACTGCTCTTTGCATCTACAGCTATGTCAAAAGTGGAATTTTTGGCTTTTAACCTTTCATCTCCACTTTAATAGAGAATACTTCTTAATGTGTTTAAATAGTATATATGTTTTATATTTATTTTAAAAATTCAAATATATTTTTGTGTTAAATATGTTATTTAGATGGCTAAATTTTGGGTTTTTAATACTTTTAGCTTTCTAAAGGTTACATTTTCTCATTAACTTTTCTGTGTTCATTCAAGAATGTTTTTGCATGTGCACTAAAAACACAATCATATTAATTGTGTTTGGATACTTTAAAATCTTTTTAAGAAGAAGATATTAAAATATTTTAATTCTATTGTATTTTTAAAGGTTATCCTGAAGTGGAAAAATGTTACTTATAAGACTTATTTTAGCAGTTACTTTTCCAAATCTGTGAGAATGGTGTATAGTAAAACTTATGACAGTGTGATTGTGCATGAGTAATTTTAGGGATTAATTTAGTGATTAAATCTGCTTAAAGGAAATGGGGAGGGTGGAGGAAACAAGACAACAGTTATCTTGCAGTTATGTGGAGATTTTCTCCCTTGCCATTCAACTATATGGCATATACAGATTTCAGCTCTGTAGCTGTCTCTCTGTTTCTCCCTCACGTGATCACACACACCCACGCTTGCTCTTTTTCTGTTTTTTGTTGTGTTTGTATTTTGGTGAAGAAGATTCTAGACCATTCTTTTCTGGAGGGTTTTTAGAATGGCCAGCCTTTTCTTTTTGAATGGCTGGAGTCAAGCACTTTATTACTAAAGAACTTCTGATATGTCTTTGTTTCTATTGTATGTAATTCACAGAGGCAGACTTTTCTCTCTCGTTTTATTTATGAAGTGCTTTTGTTTATACTTACTGATGTTCAACTTTTCTCAACTTTTAAGGGAAAAATACTTCATAAAAATATCTAATTAATATTAGT